AGCATTTTGTAAGCTCACAACATTGTGAGGTAGATAATAAGTCCAACTCACATTTCTATAGCCTTTTAAAGGGTACAAAATACTTATTTATAGTAGATTGTATGTTAGGGTTATGAGGTCCATCTTCCAGGTGAGGAAACCAAAGCTCCCAGAGAAGGTAAAGAGTTTGCTCATGATTACACAGCTAGTAAATGTTAGAAGAGGAACTTGAACCAAGGTCTCCTGCTCTAGATCCAGTGCTTACAGCAGCTAGGTAGCATAATGATTAAGGCTCTGGACCTATAGTCAGGAAGAACTTAGTTGAAATCCAGCTTCAGATACTTGCTAGCTCTGACCCTGGACAAGTCATTCAACCCCTGCCTGCCTCAGTTTCCTAATCTGTATAATGAGGATAATAATAGCACCTACCTCTCAGGGTTGTTGTGAGGATAAAATGAGATAATATTTGTAAAGCACTACATAAATGCTAGGTATTATTATTATTATTCCATCTTACCACACTTGTTCTCATAAGAAGATTTCTAAGGTCCGTTCCATTTTTGGTCCTTTAAGCAAGGATCTGGGATTTCATCCACGTATCTACCCCTTTGCCTTTCATGAGTTGCTGTGGCCAGAAAACTCCATCACCTGGAAATCATCCATCTGGTGTTGAGCCTTTCTGAATTTAGCTAGGCTGCTCCTCAGAAAACAGGCATACTCTCCATATCTGGGCCCACATTTTCAGCTTGAGACTTTTTTATTCCACTGACATAGACTTCAAGAATTCAAGCCTATTTCCATAACACAGAAAGGCATCTGAATACACAGTAAGGCATATACACAGTAAAGCAGTGAGACAACAAGCATTTATTAAACACTTACTATGTGCCAGGCACTGATGGTACAAACACAAGCAAAAAGAAAGATAGTTCCTGCGCTCAAGGAGCTTGCAGTCTAATGGGGGAAACAAGACAGGGGATAGGATAGAGGGGGAATGTACCATTGTGGGACCATTGTGGGAGCATGGTGGGAAAGTCCAAAAGAGTCAGAAGCATATCTAAGAAGGGAATGAAGCATAGCTGGCCTGAACTGGTCCCCAAAATGAAAGCCTCTAGATTGAATTCATCAGTGAGAGAAAGGATCTGGCATGGCGAAGTGATGTTCACAGGTATGAATGAGCATGGAAAGTCAGAAGCACAGTCTACAGAGGAATGGGTTGGATGTTAGTGGAGAAAAACAATGTAACAATAAGGTAATCCATGAATCTGAAGTTTCATGGGGTGCATGCTGAAGAGCTTCTGAGGAAGGAAGATGAAATTGACATGACAGTGGAAATGTACTGTCAGGCCAGATGGAGGAAATGGATAATGAGTTTTTGATGCAGATAACAAACTGGAACAGAGGCGAGATAGAGTTTTGATAAAAGATTTTAACAGTCTGAGAAACCTGTTTTAGATCCCTTTTTGCCACTGTCAGAACAGCTGAGACATCTTTGACTTGACTTGCTGATAGCTTTATCTTCCAGAAGATGGAGGATATGGTGAGGGGAACTGTTATTCTGGACTGGTTCTGGCCAATAAGGAAGAACTAAGTGGGGAAGTAAAAATAACAAAACCCTTGGGACACAGTGACCATGACATCTTGTCATTCATGATAGTAACAACACTAGGCATGGTCTAACATGAACATTAGTCTTTAGGAGAACAGAATTCAAAAACTTCATAGAAAGGATAAATAGGATCCTATCCTAAAATTATTAAGAAGAAAGCTGTCTCAAGAGAGATGAGAAGCTCAAAAAGAGACATTCTGATCGGGTAATTGCAAATGAACCCAAAGAGTAAGAAAAGAGGTATCTTCAAAGAAATCAATGTGACCACACAGGGAGCTCATCAGTCACCTCAACATCTTTCATGTCATCCCTCCTTTCCACATCTATTGCAGCCACCCTGAGAGCCTCAACATTTCTCATCAAAACTACTTTTTCCTTCTTCCCTTGTCTAATCTACCTTCCATAACTCTATATGAGTAATCTTTCTATTGCAACCTTCTGGTTTCTCTGAAATCTTCATTACCTCCCCATTGCATACCAAATAAAGTATAAATTCTTGATCCTGGCATTTAAGGCCTTCTGTAGTCTGTCTAAAACCCACTTTTCCAACCTTAGCTCGTGCTTCTACCCCTCCCATCCTTTACATTCTAGCCAAACTGGAAGACCGCAGGCCCCGTTCTCATCCTTGTTTTCCCGTCTCTGAACCTTCTCATCTCTCATCTGTCTTCAGTGCCTGAACTGGCCTCACCATCCCCCACCACCCACAGTCTCCTCCCGTTAAAGTCATTCTCTTTCTTCAAGGCCTGACTCAAGTGCTATCTCTGCCATGAAGTTTTCCTTGAATACCCTTCCTCCTCAACGTGAAAGTGATTTCTTTTTCATCAGTTTTTTCATTAACACTTTCCTGAAACTGTCCTCAGAGAACCCTGTTCTTTGATCATTAAATTCCTCTGTAGTCTAATTTTTAAATCTAGAGGGCTAGCCTTGGAGTCAGGAGCACCAGAGTTCAAATCTTGCCCCTAACTCATACTAGTTGAATTACTTAGCTTAGAACAAGTCACTTAACTCATCAGTGCCCTCGGGCAACTCTCTAAAGCTATTGTTGCTGATGAATTGCTCATCTTTATGGGTAAAAGGAGTTTCTAGGACAAAAATTAAAATCTCTAAAAAATTTCTGGCTCAAGGTCAGTTGAGCCTTCTGACCATCTATTCACCAAGCTAGCCAGGGGTCAATGGGTTCAAATATCTATCATACCCTGATTCCTAATTTCCTGTCACCATTTTACCTTCATATTGCCACCACATCAAATTGCAATTAATCTAGGAACCCAGGTAATCTTTAATCCAGTCCTTGTTCCCTATCTCTATCTCTCTCTCTCAGTCTCTCTCTGTCTCTCTTTCCTCTGGGTTTGTGTGTG